GTTACATAAATGTAGCCTCCTTCTTTCTCAGTTCCATTACAAGACACTTTTTCTTAAATATATAGTCTTTTGGGAAAACATATGACACATTTTAGCAATTTGATCTTCCTCATATGATTTATAGTTTCATCCTTTATACTTAAAGTTTCTAATCTTTTTGAACATTTGTGCTATCTCTACCTCTTTGAAATTTGCTGTAGTTCATTTTTAAAAACAATTGATAGATAAAGAATAAATATTCAGTGTAGTATTTTAATTGGAAGATCCCCTGTCCACTACCTTTTGGTTATTTCACAGTGAATAACATCGTTGACAAAAATGCCAAGATCTTCTCCAACCACAATTATTTTTAATCTATGAAACAGAATTTCCTTACAAATTAAGTAGTTTTTATAGTAGCGACATTTATTGTTGATGTGATCTGTTTAATATGACTGTCAGAAGGGAAGTTGGGTCCATTATTCTTCCAGAAATTTGTGGAAGAAACATTAATTAAGAGAAGTAAAAGCCATTTCTACTCTGTATAAGGATAAAAGAGCTAGCTATAAGTAGGGTTCAGATTATAGATAAATTAATCTCTAATGTAATAAAAAGAATTAACTATTCATTTTTATTTAAGCTAACCCTTGTCATCTAAAAACATACTATTTTAATAAATATTGGACTTCCCTGGTGGTCCAGTGGCTAAGACTCCGTGTTCCCAATGCAGGGGATCCTGGTTCGATCCCTGGTCAGGGAACTATATCCCACATGCCACAACTAAGACTCGGCACAGCCAAATAAATAAATAAGTATTTTTTTTAAAATAAATAAATATTACACAGTGCTTTTACTATCCTGAAATAAATTCTAGAGGTAACATAATTCACCTACTTATAAGATTGCTAAATTATTGTATTCCTCTAGTTAACATATGAAGGAAATAAAAGAAAAATAACTCATAATAAGAATAATATATATATATCAATATTTAAAGTGCTCAGGAAAATCTGCATGTGTCCTGTGTATAGAATCACCAGGAATTCCACATCTACAAATGCAGGCTGGTGCAGGTGTGCTTATTGGTGGCTCAAGTACTGTGGGCAATGAGGCCATCAGTGATGAGATTTTCTCATATGGCTGTCCATTCTTGGTAATATTCTGAACAACATAAAGTACAAAATTCCTTCAATTTACATGGTAGCTGGATTCCTGGAAAATTCCGTGTGTATTAAAATCATGCCAAAAGTACTGTGAGATTACTTGTTAAACAGATCTAAATTCTAAGCCCATATAATCATAAACAGGTTTTTCAGCTACATGAATAGCTTGTGAAACATTTGAAAACCATGTGCAATGCAGAACAGCTCTTCATGTGCTGTAATGCCCTGCAAATTGAAGGATGTCCACCTCCCTGGCCTTCTCCCACTAAATGCCAATAGCTCCTCCCAGTTGTCCTGACCTCCAAAAACTTTCCTACAAATTTCCAAAATGCCCCAGAGGCCACTACCATGCCCATTAAGAACCACTGATTACGACTGAGCAAAGGCAATTTTTTGTAATAAAGAACTGAGATCGTGCACATTTATTTTGCCCCAAAGGTGAATTATCCAGTAAGAACAAGCCTGCCAATCCAAGAGAATACAAAAATCATTCCCTGAGAACATGGCAGATAATTAACCTGGGAAAACCCTTTATTTCCTACATTGTGGAAACAACTTAGATTAGGGAAATGGGGGTTTGAAAAGTAGAAAAAAGATCACAGTCCCTAAGAAGAGGAGCTTTTGCTAGGGTAAAGTTGTGGCAGAGGAAAGACCAGGTCCTGACTATAAAACCATGTTTATCTCCTTCAAATACAAAAACAAAAACAAAAAAAAAAAAAAAAAATACAAAAACATAGTTAGTGCTAAATGGACTAGTTTCCATGTTACCTACACATAATTGCCGGTTATTAATAAATGGCTGCTTTTTTAGTTAGCCTAAACTTTCCCCTTCTATATCCTTTTATGAATAGATAATGTAATGGCCTAGTGTTTCCATCCTGATGGAAGAAATTCCCCTAAAGTTGTATATCTTTTAAGTATTCAAAAGCTGCTGTCAGAAGTTTCCATTCTCTTATCATTGCTATGGGCTGATAGTCATATTAATTCGTGAATATTTTCATTGAACATTGGCCCCGAGTTTTCAAAAATGGTCTCCAAACATGTTCTTGAAATGTGTATACGCAGCCCCAGATGGACATGCAACTACCTTCCAAATGCTGTGTTAAAATTATTAAAAATCTACTTTCAGTAATTTAGAAAAGAAAGCCATTTTTGTGTAAGATATTTATGTTACCACTCCTTAGTTTAGGGAGGATTCTCACTCTCCCATTCCATTCCCTATAATTCAGTTTCTAACCCACCTTGCTTATTAATTTACTCCTAGCAATTTCCGTTCCTCTGACAGAGCACACACTCTCATTATTTATACTCTTAAATTGCAAGGGTAAATATTGAGAGCCAGTGCAGGTCCTCAGTTATCTCAGGGACTTTGGTCTTTTCAGCCCAGGACTAATCAAGCAGAGAGTCATCATAAGCTAAAACTAAAAAGCCTTTGTAGTGATTTTATCACCTGGGAAATTTGTCCATCCTTCAGAAAGATTGTCACCAGGAAAGAAAAAAATAAAGGAGTTAAAATTGCTTCAGACCATTGACTCCTTAGGTCCCTCTAGATTCATACATTGAATTGGTTTTCAAGGGGTGGGAGGAATTATGAGAAGAGCTCCCTAAGAAAGCTGAGAAATTGATCATAGCCTTGGTAATACTAGGAAGTGTAAGTGTGATCACTATGGAGGAAATGCCAAATGAGCCTGGAAGCCTGGGAAATGAGAAGGAAAAGAGACGATTAACACCTTTTTTTTTCTATTGTGTTTGGGGATGGGTGTTCCCATGTAGTATGCATCTGAGAAGAGTCAATACCATTGACTTTAAAATATTTTTTCATTATAAGTGCTATTAGTAATTATTATTGAAATGAAACTGGAATTACAAGCACTATAGAAAACAGGGATGGGCATTTCATAAACCTGTCCAGAAACTGGGCTCCCTTCTAAGTATACCCACAAAATGTTATTTAAAGTAGGTATGTCTGAGCTTATCTAGAACTGCTCACAAACTTCTTTTGTGTTTGGAGAATACAGATGCCTCCAAATTCAAAGGAAGTCTTTAAGACTGTTATCTGAATACGTCAGTGAAAATTATATACTAACAATAAATATCTGGATATTACATATATTTTAAAGAACTTGAATTTTTACACATCTATTGATAAAGGCAGGCATTTGTATAATTTTTTTCCCGAGGATTCTGTTGACTTGTCAAAATCCAGTCAGGCACTTTAGGATTTGCCAGGATAAACCTGCACTTATCTCTTTCTTCCACTGACTAGCATTGAATTTTGCCCAAACTGAGTAAGCAGATAGAAAAAGGACCTCATTTTTTAGTCTGAACACAGTAGTGTTGGGGGATGTAACTCAAGGATATGACTTCAGTACTGGATCTTGTTCCAAATGCAGGTTCATTAGGCCAGTCCGCCGAGGAGAGGAGGATAGAGAGCATCCTTCTGAGGGCACCTGTTAAAAGAGGGGTTCTCTAGTAAGGCCAGCTCCCACAGCTAAGTCACATGCACAGACTATAGCTTTCTGCTCTCTGGTCGAGGCAGCCATAGCATCCTTATTGTTGTAACTCCCAGATTGTGATACTGTCACAAAACTGTTGCTAGGCAACAAATGTGGTTACCAGGTCTCAGCGAATAGCTGAAGGGGAAAGCAAAGTGTTGCACCATTGTAGAGTAACCATAGCAATGACCTACTATTACAGACTAAAGAATTATCATTAACAATGTTAAAGTATCAGACAGAGGCCCCGAATCCAGAGACTTCCAGACAGTGTCTCTCTGCATAATTGAGTGATCTAGGAAGAGATTTAAACCGTTTAAAATCTATTCACTCATTATTCCTACAGCAGAGTCTTTGTTATTATTATTTTTATTTTTTAATTTAAAAAGTGTTCCGTTATAAAACTATTAGTTAAATGATATAAGCTATCACAGGGAGTCAAAAACAGATTAATATCCTCATCTGTTCTTACGTCTACATCAGTGTTATTTTTTACCTGTCTTAAAACTAAAGAAAGATTTTATTTGAAAAATCTGTACATTAGTGTTAAATTGAAGCCACAGAAAGAAGCTGTAGTAAAACAAAATAACTCTGTAAATTGACAACTTAACCTGCATTTTGTGAGTTGAATTCCTCCTGACAAAATAGGAGGCCTAGATGCTCTTTCAGTAGTCACTGCTTTGAAACATTCTTTTTTTTTTTTTTTAGCTTTTCTAAGACTGTCCCCTAAAACCTGTTTAAAAAAAAAAAATGTAAGCTGCTAGGACACTAAAATCCAACTTGTTTCTTTCTCTTGGGAAGCAAAGAAACGTGGGTGCTCTGCGGAGGGTGCAAAAGCCGGATTCCGAGCGCAGGGGAAACCAATCCCCGCGCGCGCCCAGCCTGGGGAAGTGGGTGGTTTCGAGGCGGGAGAGGGAGTGGCCCTTCCCGCCCAGCGCCTCGATTGGCCCGGAGGGGCTGAGGCCCTGGGGGCCGCCGGCCGCGCCTCGGGCGACCGCGGGGAAGGTCCGGCCGCGGCCGCGCGTTGGGGACGTGCTAGGGGCTCAGGCCAGAGGCGGCGGAGTTCAGGGATCGCCACCCCGAGCGCCGCCGGCGGAGACGCGGAGTCGGTGGGCCGCAGCCTCCCTCCGAGCCCTGGGGGCCACGTGAACCCTCAGGTACAGGTGTGGTCCCTAGGGGTCGCGCGCCCTGGAGGGGTGGGGGCTGGGCTCCGAGGGCGGGACGCGGCGCGGCGCGGCGCAGAGGGCGCGGGCTCGAGGACAGAGGACCGGCGGCCTGGGCCTCGGCAGAGCCCGTCTGTCCCGTCCCACCTGCGCCGGCAGCACGCGAGGCCACCTCGTAACTGAATCTGTGCATTTTGCAGGCACCGACCGTCACGAGCTAACTTCCTGGAAGAGCTTCCCGTCTATTTTCAAGTTCTTTACCGAAGCCTCTGAGGCAAAGACCAGTTCCCTGAAGCCGACTCTGACGCGGCGCTCCCACCGAATAAAGCACGAAGATCTGTAAGAGGAGAGCGAGCGAGACGGGGGAGGGGAAGCCGAGGAAGCACACTCGAGCATATGCATCCACACGTCTCCCCACCGCCTGTTGTCGGCGAGCCGACTCCCAGCCCCTCATTAGATTGTTTTCTTCCTAGAGCACAGGGTCGTGATATATACATCTAAATAGCGTTTTGCATTATTTCTAGATGAGTGCAACTGTCAAAGCAATATGGGTTCACTGGTCGTGCTTCCTGCGGGCTGTGCTTGGGCTTCGCACTGCCCGTCAGCGCGCAGATTAAGGCCGACAGCGCCCTGCCCGGCGCGGCCGGCGCGCCTCTAATTGCCCTGATGGAGCCCGCGCCGGTGCTGCGGGGCGAGGGGCGTCTGCGCGGTCCTACCGCCCGCAGCCACGTAGCCGCAGCTCCGCTCCTCTCCTCTCCCCCGGCCCCCCTTCCCCCTGAATCATATCCATTTTTTTTCTCCCCCGAACCGAACCGAAGGAAACTTTTATTCTAGACTTAAAACTCCCGTTTTAAAAAGTTTTTTCCGTAAGGGCGTCTATGTCTTTTTTTTTAAGGAAGTCCCCCCCCTCCCAAGCCAAATTTAAATTCATAACGTGAATTCCGTGAGGTACTGTGTAGTTCGGGGAGGGCAAATTGTTCTCTCCCTAACGATCTATTTTCATTTCGAGACCAGAAGAAAAACTGCATTAGAAAAATCTATAAAGTACCCAATCCACGTTATCGCTGGAAACCTTGCCAACTGAATACGAGATTTTACACAAGTCTCTAATTTCAGAAGATTGTTTAAACCAAAACATAATGATGAGCAAGTCTTTTAAGTACATGTGGGAAAGGTTTCATTTTCAAGGGAGTTTCCAACTTTATCATTAGAATTTACTTTTTTAAATATATAATGTGTGTTGGGTAGCACTGTAATTTAGATAGCATACTTAAGTTTTGTTTAAATCTTAATGTGGAGGAAGTTTGTTGTTGTTAATTCTAAGTAGAGTGGTCTATTTTGAGCTTTCATAGAGTTAGACCTTTTTAGGGAGAATATTTTTTATCGTCGTAAGGAAAAGGAATCTGTGCGCTTGAACCTTTTCCTTCTGAAAGGCTTAGTGGGGCTAAAATGATTCTTTTAGTTTTCTGCTTCAACAGAAAGGGAAAGACCTGGTGTGAAAGACTTTTCTCCTCTCAATCCAATGGTATAATTCGTAGTAGTCCACCTCCTCTGTAAGGTTTTGCCTTACAGTTTCAACAATTAAGTATTTTAATCCAGCTAGGATCTGGCCAACTCTGTGAAATATGAGGTAAAATAAGTTAAGATCTTGCTGACGTTTAAATTCACATGTTAAATCTTAACATTATTACTTTTTTAATTACTTGTAGAATTTAATTACCTAGTGAAGATTCTGTTTCTAATAAGTGAGGATCTGAATTTAGTATTTTTTTTCATCCTTTTTTAAAATATACGCAACAATATGCCTGCCTTACTTGAGGACACGACAAAATGTACCCAAAATAACTTAGAACTGTTTGACTCCTCAGAAAAATAACTTAAAATAACCACCTCATGCATAAAATGTTTTTATACTAGGAACCGATTTCAGCAAGTTTTAAAACTGGTAGTATCTGTGTTTGGTACACAAGTGCATTAATTAGTTTTCATAATTTTAATGATGGTAAATTAAGGTGATCTTTCTTTCAGTAATCTTATATGCATATCTTTTGATGTTATTTTAGCAGGAACAACATAGGAGGAAAAAGCAAAATGTCATTTTATCCAATTCCTTGGGTGGCTTAAAATGTGTAACCCCAGCAGCGTCGAGCATGTTGCTCTGCAATCTTTTCTGTTTTAGAAGTAATAGTGAACTGTGTAAAATAATGGTACCTTCCACAGAGAGGATTTGAGAATTGATGTGGATTGAATATATTTTTCCAAGTGTTATAAATTGTGTGCTGTTTTCAGAATATTAAAATGTTCACAAGAAACTAGTTTTATTGCATTTTTTTAATCAGCACTTGTACAGTACTCAATTTGTGAAGCGTCTGCAGCTGAATTAGAGCAAACATGCTCAGGTTATAAACCAAATCACTCCTATTTCTTCTCTTCAGTTTTCTCACCCCTAGTTTTTAAAAAACCTTCACTTGTAACTAGAGTAAATCACTGCTTAGTTGCCTTTAATACTTTAAAACTACTGGGTTGTTAGGCCTTGTTTAACTATCTATAGAGAGCTATCTGCAAACTTAAGTTGTGTAAATGTAATTTCTACTTGGGGATCTGCGCTGTTGCAACCCAGAGGGAACTAGGCAACCCGTCCCAGACCTCCAACTGATTACTGATAAGATTCCTTGTAATGTAGAATCTTTTAACCTGTTGATTATGGGTTTGTTGGTATAAATATATTGTTTTCACCTCAGTTTTCCTGGAATAACAACAGTCAGTTGGTAGTAGCCCGCCTGCTTGGACGAGACAAGGGTTAACAATGTTTCTGCTCTGCTCTCCCATTTTGGTTTCTTTAAGACAAGTTTTCAGGAGAGTAGAGGTTTAAAGTTAGGAAGTGGGCTTTTTTTTTTTTTTTTTAAATTATATAGTGAGTTCTTAGAGGAAGTGGAATGGGAAGCAAGGAGTTGTTGATCAATCTAACGTCCAGAATAGAACTGTTAAAACTTAAAAGCCAGATACTGGCTTTGGAGCTTTCTAAAGGTACTTAACTATACAGCCGTTAAAAGTTTTCATGGATATTTGAAGGCGGGGGGGAGAAATCTTCTTGTATTAATTGTTCTTTTCTCAAGTTTCTGCCTTGTGCTTCAATTTGGATTGCATTATTGTTTATACCAAAAGAAAAGGAAACTAAAGCACAGGAGTTTCCTATATATTATATATTTCTGTTTACTATTTTAAAATAAAGAACAATTTTCCCAATATCCGGTGACTTATTATTCTTGTTCAGAAGCTCATTTAATCACTCACAGAGGTCAATAAAAGCAGAAACTTAATAAGAATGATGGGACAGCATTTATCAATATTTTAAACCTTATAGTTACTTATTATTACTATTATTGTTGCTGTAAGGTAATACCCTAACTTCAGTTGAGTCACTATTTAGCTTGGAACTTTCACAAAGCCTTTTTTAAGATATTTGTTTTTAAGACCTAAAATATCTCCTTAGCTACAAGGAAATTCGAACCCGTTGTTAAACTATCATTTTATAAAATATACTTTACTATATACGGTAAACAAATGTGTTTTCCAAAAGGACTCTGTTGAGGTTAAATTGCTCCCAAATCCCTGTATAGGTCCTTGATGTAGTACATCTAATCTGAAAATACCTTGTTTGTATTTATTTCACAGCTTTTCCTTCTTTAAAACCTGTAACTTTTTTGAGAGAGTGTGGGTGACAAAATATGTTAACTGTATTATCAGTGCTAATAAATTAGATTTTTTCATTTTTCTCTGGATTATCCGGGGTTGCAGTCTAGACACATGTGTGTCTCCGGTTGGAATCATAGTTTGTAACTGTGGACTGACAGGTTCCTTTTGGTGTCTGTAATCCTGGTTCATTTAAGAAAGATTACTATTACAGAAAGGCTAAAATTTTCTCAAAATTTTTCCCTATGCCTTTGTAGAGAAAAATGTCTTTAAATAAGTGTGATATATTCTCATTTTTGAAATATGGGTGGCCAAAAATAAGGATAATAGTAGTGGTTATTTTATGATTACTTATTAGGAGGTATTATAATATAAAATAAAAGACTCCAGGAGGTACTCCCTTTCAAAAATTGAATACTTTCCTTCCTTCCTTCCTTCCTTGTATAGTGTGACTGAGTGGGAGTCTCTTGAATTGTTCGTCTTCCTTTTATCTAATATTCTATTAATCTCCAAAAAGATCAGTTTGAGTCTGGGAAAGGGTTTTTAATCAACACTTCACAGAGCTTAAAGCTACCCTACCTAAAGCGTTAGCTTTGTTAGGCGGTTTTAGATTTAAAGCATTGCAACTGTCATGCACTGTACTAAAAGTAAAGAATGTACACCAAGTGGAAGATGTTGAAAAGAGGGAAATAGCACAAAGTCGATTAACAGAGATTCGAGAATAGAAGTAGCCATCAAAGCATTCCAGCGTTTATCTCGAAATCTATGTAGGATAAAAAAAAAAAAAAAAGAGGCAACAATGATAGTTTTAAACCTCACACTTAGGAGAGATGAATGTTGATTTAATTGATTCATTTGGATCGATGTTTTTAAAGTTTCACACCACTGATCTTTCATGTAGTGATGTCTTTAGCAGTCAGTGGTCTGACATGAGCCTTCTCAGATTTCATCAGTGGGACTCTCCATGACATCTGAAATTATGCAACAGCCTTCGCAATGGTAACTTTGGAATTGGGAGACCTTGATGCCAAAGAGCATGGTTACATTGAAGAACTCTTGTTAATTCTTAGCACAAAGGTTTTAGAGGAGTGGTAATTATAAATGAACCTTAAAGGTTAAAGTAACCAAATATTATGGAGTGGGCTTTAATTGCTAGATAGGAGAGAATCGTACTGAAAGTTTGACCATTAAGTGGATATCATGCAGTGACCAGTCTTTTCCCCTTGAATGGAAAAAAAGCTTGAAAATGGAAATTTGACTTAATCCATGAGGCCTTCCAGGCAACTTTTCCCAGTCCTTTGCCTTGAGATTTGTGAAAAACCTTTCACTATATTCTTTGTATTGTTGGAGTTGAGTTCTATTTGAAACATGTTTCTAGAAAAGAAATCTAGAGAGGCCCTGCATCTTTCTTTCCAGATCATTCCACTTTTTCTTCCTTGGCTAATACATTGGGTAATATGGGAGACTGTCATAGGTAAAATAATGTTGAACTGTACTTTGTAGCCAGCCTGCAGTACCAATACAAAGAATCTGAAATGAAAAGACAACCAACACCCCAAGAATGATATGTCTCTTTTTAAAGTTTACAATTTGAATAATGAACTTGGATAGAAACTTGGCAGGAAAACAAACCATGGCACCATCACATCACCAACCATTTTCACTTTTCTGTCCAATTTCAGAGTGCATGTGTTTGTGAGTATTTCACTAGATCAGTGACAGCTCTTTATTTGCATAATTATATGCTCTGGTCTGAAGAGAAAACTAACCCCCAAATTTCATGGGTCACCAAACTGCAACAATCAATGTTTTATCACATATGCTAAGCAAAATCTAAGAAGCTATATGAAGTTTCTTGGGGAGTTTTTACTCCTCAGAAAATTAAAGCGTTTTCCTCTCCTGAATAGATTCAAAATCTTTCCAAGTTCTTTGTAACTGAATTCTGTTTGAAGGCAAAACTAGAGATTAACATGTAGATCTGGATCTTAGGCTCACTAGCATTACTTCAAAGTGGCTTAAGAAGAGCAGCATTTTTGGAACACTAAACTTTTAAATTCTAAGTACTGTCCTTCATGCTATCAGGAAAAAAATTATTGGCCAAATTATGATTAGCCAAAATGAAGCCCAAATTAACTACAATTGAATATGAAGTTCATTTCCTTCTATGAAATACTCAGGGTTTTTTTTAAAGACCTAATAGGAAAATATGTATATATGCATAGATATCTGTGTGTATGTGCACACACATGCATACACATATCCATCCATGGGGTACATATGGCCATTCCACCAGGATAGACAACATATACAGTATGTGTATGTCTTTTCAGTGCTGGTAACATAGTAGGTACTCCATATATGTTGGTCACCAGGATTGTTTGTAAACTTATTTTCTTTTAAATAAATTTTTCATGTTCAAATTCTGCAAGGCTTTGTAATAAATATTTTTCAATGCCTCAAGTTCATTTGCATCTGTAAATTATCTGTATGTGATGTGTATCAGTGTTCAAGGTTGGCTTTATTTCATTAAAGAAAAATTGATTCAAACTGTTGGTGTTTTTAGTTTATAGGCAATCTGCCAGACTTGAAATAAACTAGAACATAGAGACACATGCAGGGAGTGACTGTTCGTTATGGAGTTATTAAAAATCCTGGAAAATGTGCTTTTACCTAGCCTCTTAAGGAGTATACTAAGTGCATGATTTAATTCTACTGCAAAAGGACTTAGGTCTGTATTTCATTTAAAAGCATATAGTACAATGTGTTTTATTTAAAGCGATCTGTTAGTAATAATATATTGACAGTTTCTTTGTCAGGTAATTTACAGTCATAAGAAAAGCATTAGAAAAAAGGAAACATTGAGCTTAAAAATTTAAGAATTGCATGGTTCTGAAGTATTTTATTCTCTATCTTGGAGAGGGATGAGAGGTCTTTAGGTCAGGCATCAGAAATTTTCTAAAATGTTCCTATTATTTCAAGCAAAAGAGAAACCATTCTCTCCCAAGTTCTTAACTAAAGTTGAATTACAAGTGGAAGACACTTTCTTTCTCTTTTAGTGCAAAAACTTAAACATCTGCTTATCACTATCCACAATCATCACATCTCACCTTGTTGCTGTCCTTCCAAAATGTTCACCTAGTTATACCCCCTCTGCACCACCCCATCATCTACCTCCCCAATAACTGCTGCTTGCTGTCTTGGATTCCTCTGGGTGAAAATTCCTCAAAACTGAATCTGTAAAAACAAATAAATACAAGTTTAGCTTTTTTGTCAAACATAATGAGTAAGCAAATGAGTTAATGTTGCTGTCTGACTAAGCATTAAAGAGTGAAAAATAAAGAGTAGAACCCTTCTAGGTTACAATTTAAAGATTTTTAAGTTGGGGACCTATGTGCCTCAGATCAATTTGCATTTTATTTTTAATGTATAAACTCTTAAAAGGAAAATAATAGACAGTACATATCCCTAATTACTTTTTTTTTTTTCTCTATTTGACCTTTGTGGGGACCTTGCTATGAGTTTCAGATAGAGTTCTCGGTTTTCTCTTCCGCCTGGGACACACAAAAATCTGTTATTTCCTATAGAGTTCCACACATGAGATGATTGACCCTAAAGCTGAACGGGCTTTCTCTTTTTATCATTTTCATTTCTTTTTGCTCAAGTACCACCTAATCCCATTGTGCCTGAAAAAGGTATCTATGATCCAGTTCATCTTCATGTACCTCCAAATAATTTTCCAAAGGCTTGTTTTCTTCTTTGTCTTATTTTAACTATAATTACATAAAATGGCTTTTTTCCAGTAAATGTTCCCACCTTCTCTGGGTACCTAGATTAACCAGGATTTATCAACTGACGAAATATTGATGGTTTGTTGTGGTGGTTTTGGTTTGGGGGTTTTGTGGGGGGTTTTGTGTGGGTGGTTTTCTTTTGTCTGGTTTTGGTTTTGGTTTTTTGCTTTGCCTCTATAAATTACTTAATATCATCCCCTGGAATAGCCAGCTCTAAAAATAACCCTAGCACAGAGTGTCACAATTTGGCTTTCATACAGTTTCAAAGGAAAACCATTAAAAATGCATTGATCTCACAAATATTGATCTAGTGCTTGATATCAAATATCAACTGAGATGCTGTCAGGTGCTGCTGATCATTGTGTCAGCTGTTTGAATTCTCGTCCCTTTCCTTCTTCACTGTCACATGGATTCAAGTTGCTAAGGCTAAGATGTTTCATGGTTAACATAATTAAGATAAATTGTTTTCCTGTTTTTCACATTTCTGGTTTGACAAAACATAGTCATATTCTACCTGAAATTTTGTCACATAATTTCACATATATATACACACACATAAACTTTGTGTAAAACAAAACAAAACATGTATTTTACACATATGTAAAAACCTATATATGTTTTCTCTCTCCCTCTCCTCCCCACCTCTTTTAACAAAAGTGTGATTTACTTCCTAGGTAAGCTATGTTTCTATTTAGTTCTTTATCCTCATTTTGAAATACTTTCTATTTGCATCTTTCTTTCTGGGCACATGTCTTTTAAGAAATCAAATCTGTTTTAAGAGAATGCAGTTGTTATAGTACCATTTTGGAACTTAAAATGAAATCAACCATTTCAAATTCACACACACACACACACAACAATAGATAAATTGCTCCTTTTATTCTTGCTAACAAAAAAATATAACTGAAGTATTTGGCCAGCGTGAAGTTTAGAGAATTATTTAAATGAAATTGGATCTATATATTTTTAATACTTTCTCGATAAACTCATCATCTAACAGGCAAAGTCATGCTGTGCTTTTTATACGGTATCAAACCTGGAAATAGCTAAGTGCCTTTGGATATGTTTAAAGTCTCAAATCACCTTTTTTCTTTCCGCCTTCCTCTTTACTTGGTATGTCAAGAATTGATAATTACATTACTTTGAAATATTGGAACACTTTAAGGAGGAAACCGTCCTATAATGACCAGTTACCGCTGCTGTCTGACTCAGCAGTGCAGGCTGAGAAATAGGGGAGAACCCTCGTAGAGCGCTGTTTAAATTGTACATCCATATGCGTATTTTCCACATTCATGGGAAGAAAAACAAATCCCAGCCGCAGGAGTTCTCGGTTTCTCTTCCCCCTTTTACACCTGAGCTCGGTTTGGGTGCAGCGAAATGAAGCGAAATGAAGCCGCGTTCTTCCCAGCACCATGGACAGCACCCAGCGCGCCCCCTTCCCTCTCCCCTCCGCCAGAACCCCGAAGTTCCGGCGCTCGCCTGATTCCTCTCTCCGACCACCCCCTCACCATAGGAAACTGGCGCTCGAAATCTTAGGATCTGAGCCCAAAGCGACAATGGGTTTAAAAAGTATACAGTTTGTGGGTAGAGAGTCTTGTTTGCTCCGTGCCGAGTGTTAACTAGAGTGCCACAGATTTGACACACCGTTTGCCTGCTCCCCGAATTTGCATCTACTTTATAATGAAAGCAGCGCCACTCTCAGTCATTTTTGTGGCAGAAGTCTTATCCACAACTTTTCTTTGGCCAACTTCTCACAACCACCCCTTAGCTGGCCAGAGCTGTACCGGCACCGGTTTAAGAGCTCTGTACTGTGAGTCCATTCTCCCTGGGCTGGTGATCTCAGTCGCGAGAGACCTGTGGACCGAGAGCTGTGCGTTCAGACCCACTGGGCCCTTGGTCCCACGGCTCTGTCCGTGGCTGGAGCCGTCTCACCCGGGTGCGCCCAGGTACTGGTTAATTACCGCCCGGTAGCAGGTGGCTGTGCAGCGGGCGCCCGGCCGGCGGCGCGCTAAAGAGCTTGACAGAAACTTATCTGACAGCACTAAAAGGGGGCGCGTCTGGCTCAGTACCCACCACCACCTCTTTTCCTACTTTCAGACCTCGACTCCAAGCTCCAGATTTCGGCATGCCTCCCTCTTTGGCTCTCCTTTTTACTGTCGGGTTAAGCAAAATATAATAAAGGAAGATTACTTTCGTGTGGTGTCTTTTTCATTGCATGATCTCCCTAGCAACCTTTAAGTCACCACTCTTAAGACAAGACTAGTTTTTAAAGATTTCAAATTGCACCTTCCTTTATTGAAACTTGCCTCACTTGTTGGACTTTAAGTGAAATCTCTTCCCTCCCTCTGGAACCCTGTTCTAATCATCTACTCTCTTGAGCCGACTTTGAGGACCAAAGTATTATGTTTAGAGCAGGCAAGATGGCCAAAAACAAATTTCTATTAAAATATCGATTGTACAAAAATCGTTTCAAATCAACTTAATCCAAACTTTACCAGAAAGGGCCAGGAAAGTGAAAAAGGGTGAGAATTCTGGTATCTTACAGTAAGAAGTTTCTTTCCTCTAAAATAGCCTCGACAAACCGATTACAAAATTGCTTTTGTATAGTAACATGGATTACAATGCCTTTCAGGATAAAATGATTATTTAGCATAGTATTACAATGACAAATTTCTGTGAATTCCTCAGCTTAGTGGCAATTCAGCTTCAGAACACTCTATTTTTCTATCCCATAAGACATACAAATATTTTATTAAATATTTCATAGGTTAACAATTCAGTCTGTTTTCTCACACAGCGCTGCTTACACAAAATTTTTGCCCCTTTTTTAGTGTGCAAAGTCATTGCTGAGTTATCTCCAAAGGTAATTTTTTCTCATAGTTTGGTCTCTCTTGTGGTCTCATGAGTCGTTTTGCCCAAATTCTAAGACAAGTCCGTGCTACAAGAGAAACTCGGCCACACCGGGAGCTGTTTTAGCTAGCCGCACGACCCTCCTATGAAAACTAGGGAAATGCATTGTGGCAGCTGAAGTGTGCAGGGTAACAAAGGGGACCTGTTGAATAATAGGAACTTGGAGACTCGCACATTCTAGACTGGGGATCCACCTCCCAGTTGTGAAACTACAACTGAAATATCTCCATAATGTTTGAATGTCTTTGGTTGGTGTATTTTTACGGAATTTATTCTATGAACTGGGTTTCCATCTTTGGATAAATGAATATTTCATTCTTACCTTCCAGAGGTTCAGGAACAAGAAAGAGAATCAGGTGTGGAGAAGGACGTGGAACTTTCCTCTGTTGGTGTGGGGAACTTGTGGAGATTTGGGTGGAATAGAGAGCAGTTATTGAACTCCTGGGTGTCTAGCATTTGTTCCTTCAATCTGGGTTTTTGGGAATCTCTTTCCTTCACTGGAGATTTCCCTTATGACCCGTGGACAGGGTGGCTAAGATCTCTATTTAATTAATCAGGAATTTCTTTTTTTTTTTTTAAGTGTATTCTTGACAGAGTTTCAGAATGATGTTTGTGGGTTATTCTAAGTTAATCAGAAACTCCCAGACCTGGGTGGATATTTCAGGACCACTTTGCCAGAAAAAAATGTGGCGAAAAGAAGTGCAAGAAAACTTGATTTTCTTGTTTTCAAAAGACAAATCAATCAAAACACTGAGTGATACT